GCAAGACCAGCACTAGATTCCTAGTGTGAAGTCATCGAGTGCCCACCTTGTTCTCCTTGCTCCTAAAGTGAACCTATCTCTGAATCTCCTTCTACTCTCATGGTAATAAAATATATCTCCTGACATAGAAAGACCCTGAATCCAAGGTCCTGAGACCTGGCCTGCATTTAGACTCTAAAAATGAGCAGGCGAAGGATGTAGCCTTCTCCCAAGGGAACTGCTCAGAATCAACTGCCCTGACCCACGTCATGTACGAAGCCTTGCTTGTCACTTTGCTCTCCCTGGAAAACTTCTGAGAGCACCAGTACTTTTCACACAGAAAGTAACTTTGGACTATGATGTTTCAGACATTGATTATGTGCCTGAGAAGCAAAAGATCAGACTCTCCAACTTTCCCAAGTGGGTGAGAATTATGGTGCTATGAGTGTAATGTACTCCTTGTCTTCCCAGGTACATTAGTATGGTTTTCAAAACCATCGTAACAACTTTGTAAGATTTTAATGTGATGAGTTACTAGAGAAGTCCCTTGTAACACTTTGGTATGTGACTGAGCTTATACAAGTGTTCATAGCCCAAAGCTTCCTGATAAGCTGTAGAAGGCAGGACAATGCATAGCACAGCAAGGAAAGAAATTCATCTGCTGCAGGTGAACTCCTGTAAATCCTGATGTCCACTGAACAGGTGGGAAGTTCTTTGTGTTCATTGCAAAATGTAAATAAATAAATAAATACAACTTTCCTTTCCCAGTCTCACACGCGTGCCCCTCCGCATTGGCAAGTCCTGCTTTTCAGTATGCCTGATGGCACTAGACCTGATATTGAGACAATGACCACCATTTGTCTGTAGGACCAGTTCACACATTAACAGACTGGCCATGAATCAAAAGACGTGAGAAAACTCTCAGCCTGTTAAGACTGGAGGTTACTGTGCAGAGAAGAACAGACAAGGGCTAGTGAGTGAAGAACAAGATCCCCTCCTGCTAATATTTTTAGAATGCTACAAAATGAGAATTATTCTGCATTCAAAGCATTTCTCACAGAGTAGGTGGGCACTGGGGAAGAGTGGAGAACACCCAGGCCCTTTTCACTTTCTCAAAATACTCTTCCCTAAAAGGTAGAGAATAATATCATAAGAAATTTGTATTTTGCTTTTGGTCACGCACCTACAATGAACCCCTTATGGTGACACTACAAATCCTCACCACCCAACAGCTTGTCTTTCCCTCTTTTATAAGACATGGGAGTATTATGGTCCAGTTGTCCTTAAGAATGTCCACTAGATTATCCTTTTCTTCTGGCATACTAGCATATCCATTTTTTATTCATTATAGCCATATATGTAGGAGGGATTGCATGAGCCCTGGAATAATATTCATGCCATGACCGCACAGCACCCAGACCTCCCTATTTGCACACCTAGGAGGGTCAGCCGAGCATGTTTCCTTCCTCTGACAGGAGCGAGCTCATTCTGTGCCTTGAAGGCCCTGAGCAGGAGCCACCTCGCCTCACAGGTGCTGACTGCAGTTTCCTTCGTGCCTCCCCCTCCCTTCCGTTTCCTGAGCACACCTGTCAATGCCATGACAGCTGTGATGTCCTCCCCAGTGTGAAGGGCAGGTGTGGCCCTAATCACCCAAATGCCTGTGCTGACTGGAGGTTTCCTCCTCGTGTTGCTGTGCCCCATTGTCCCGCCCTCGCCTGGACCTGGGCTCAGCCTGCCCACTTTGGAGCATTATGCTCTCTGTGCCCCTACTACCACCCACTCAGGCCAGGCCAGGACCAGGTGCTGCTTGTGACAGGCAAATAACTCTGCCTGAAGATCCCTGGTATGAATTATGTGAGAGAGTTCTTTCTCTGTGGTTGCAGAGGAGCTGATTTACCCACCCAAGAGAAATGTTCAATGCACAAGTTTCTCATTCCCCATGAGAAGTATTAAACAAGAAACATGTTTAGAAGCTGAGCTGAAAGCATGCCATTCGCGGCCAGTCATCTCAGACACGAGCCTTGATTTGAATAGACACTTCTTAGAAGAAATTGAAACTGCTCATTCCATAGCAGCAAAGTTCCCATCCTTCGAGAATCATTCCTCAAGGACTCTGGTTTATCTTCTCCTAAAGCAGTTCTCAGGAGAAATGATAGTGTACCAGTACTGTGGCATTTATTGCCATTGGTTCAGAAACCACAAGTCTAGTCTCCAGCCATCCCAGGGTGCCGTTGATCCCAGCCAGTACCTCTTTTGTGCGTGGTAGTAGTGCGGACCAGTTAAGGTCATAAGCTTAGGTTCATTTATATCCTGATGACCAAGTCAGAGGAGGCCATATATCTTGGCAAAAAGAAAACAAATATTGACTCACAACTGGCTCAGAGGAGGTGCAATGGCTCATT